CTTATACTTGTTGAAAAGATACCAAATTTGTTTATATATGTGTTTGTATTTATCATTTTTTCATATGTACCATAGTCTGTCCCGTAATTATAATAAGCCTAATCGTATATTCAGTGACGGGAAGTGAATTTATTCCGATACTATATGATCTTTGTGTGCTTTGAATTCATATGCCATCCACCAAATTCTGCGATGTAATGTAGAAGATGACGATCATGTCAGTTCAGATGCAGGTAAGCCTTGTCAGTAAAACAGTCTGAGGAAACATAATCATTTACATGAGAAGCCGTCAAATAAATAATAATATTAATGGTAAAGCTTTATTTAGGACAGTATGCAAATATAGAGCACAAATGTTTTCAGCGTATTCAGTTCCAAAGTACTTTTTTCTTCACACAGCATTCACATGTAAAGTAAAAATCTGAAGTATATCTTCATTTCGTTGAAGAATAGCACAGCGTTTACTTGGGAGCAAGTTGAAACATCGCGCTAGTTTATGTTTAGATCATTTGATATAACTGGACGATTAAAACAATGATAAATCCAGATGAAATTAAGGATTTTGGAGGAAAAAGATTTCGTTGGCCCAATGATTTAAGCGGGCCGCCTTAAAAAAATATAATACCTGGACAGACCATTGCAAGAACCAGAGACTACACGTTTTTGGAAAGTAATTCAGATAGTTTACCTACAAAACTTCTCAAGTGCAACAGATTCATTGTGAATTATTTTCAACTGCTCACAACCTGGAATATAGAAAAGCTCTCGATTTGACAGACAAACATTTTCTTAGAAATACAAGCCACATCTGTTTAGTATGCTGTAATTCGTTAAATTATTAGGAATTAAATGAAATGTGGTTTGAAGCGATTAGTCCATTGTTCAAGTCTCAGAGGGTTCACTAAGATCACTCAGTAAAAACACAGGTGTAAGTAGCTGATGCGTCAAATTAGACGTCTTTGACGTCACTGCTAGTCAATATCGATCAAAATTACATTCAGGCAACTTCTTGAACTTCATCAAAATGTCAATAGTACGCGCCAACATGTCAACAGATACCCTGAATTTCGGTTGAGCATAATTAACTGGTGGGAAAGTAACCTTAACAAACTTTTCACTTTATTGTATAACATTTAAGTGATATCCAGTCAACTAGTATCATATATCGATCAAACTCTTATAAATAATTCCACTTTAATTCATGCCTCTTAGATTCAGTGGAAGCAGGCTCACTGAAATGCCTATGTAGTCGAGGCAGGAGCTTAAATCTACTAACTCAGAAGATCTGAATAATGAAATCAAGCAAATAAAAGGCAATATAATCTGTGAATAACCACCCTCTAGAATTTATTCAGATATATATGAAGAACCAATAACGAAACTAAAAAATAGAGAAAATGATAGAGTTGAAAGCCTCTGTAGTACTACAAAGAAGGCACGTCAGAGGCCTTATCTTTGAATTCTCAGAGGGTTGGAATTAGGGTTGCACTTAAAACAACAACAGGTCTCCCTAAAATCATTTTGTCGAATTAAGGATTCGAGAGATCCAAGTAAGAAAAATAATATCGTCTGCGAAACACCATGTTTCAACAGTTAGGTCAATCACATAGGTCAAACGAGCAGATTGTGATCAGTCGGACTATTGAAACTTTACAATTCAGCTCAGTTATTGCACTGCATTTACTACATGTATTTGAAAACTAGAAGGAGACGGTGTGAGAGTACTTAGAAGAAGTATGATTAGAGCAACTGGTTAATGAGTGCACTTTTCTTTGTCGTTTCGACATCACATGCCTGGCATCAAACAACAAGGGAATGAGAGGGAGAAAGTTAGACAGAAAAAATATGTATAAGACAAAATGTGAAATCCTGTGTGAGTCAACAGTTACACTGCTGGCTCAACTGTTTAATCACCTAATAACTAAGTTTGACTTCACCAGTTTTCGCTTGGGTCAATTAGTGATTGTTAGAGTGTGTAACAGTTTTTTTCGGTAGTTAACGGTGTTTATTTGCTACCTCGGAACTGCACCGGATTACATCTGCTGCTGAGTTTGTTGCTGAGAAGATGTTTGGAATATTTTGAGACTTAAACATAATGACTGTATCATCAGTCTTTCTTCACCACAACATATGATCACTATTAAAGATTCCTTGAGCTAAGAGTTATCATTCAACCATTATCATATTTACTCGTATTGGGTACATTGAAGAACATTTAGCCATTCAATAAGTTGACTTGTCTATTTCACTTTGAAATCTGATTACAGTGGAGGTCACACATAGTCTTAAATTAAATATTATTTATATACTCGAGATTCTGGTACTGTTTGTGAGCCCAGTGACAATATGTGCCTTGTTCACCGCTGTTTCTAGTGAATCATTCGTCAAAATATCAAAGAACAAACTACTCACTACCAAGCCAACATAGAAATGAGCATTCTCAGAAATATGTTAAAAATAATCTAACGGCGAACGCCTTAATTCAACAAGGTTTTCAGAATAAACTTGTGTAAAAGCAGTCGAATAGCAATGGTAAAATCATATGATGATGCAATAACGATCTGTGGCCTTTATTCAGTTTTATCGAGAATTCTAAACAGTCGATTGGTGCCTTGATTCATTAAACAGACTGAATCAGTGACCTTCGACTTTAAGACTTCAAAGCCTCGCTATAGTTATCCGCTTAAAAGTAATTAATGATGAACACTGTGCTCACAATGATGTCTAGTTGAATACACATATATACATATCCTCTTGATGTGAGTCTGTGTGTGAATAGTTTTGAATTAACTTGTATAAATCGGTAATTTTGACAAAGCTTGTTTTGTTTGAAATGTAAAAAAACTAAGAAACTAAATGAACTCTGACTACTCATTATCAATGTTAGTGTCAATAAATATGCTGGATAAAATTATATATGCATATATATATATATATATATATACATATACATATGAGAAATAAGGTGAACAATTTCTAACTCAGAAAGAATCTTCGTGTAAGTCAGTTACTCCTCATTCTATTTCGTTTACATTTCATCCATTGAATGTATCAACATTATTTGTTTGGCTTCACGTTGAATCTCTCAGTTCATTGCCTCTGTTCGTGGTTGTAGAATGAAATCGGTGTTAAGTTGAATTGACTTGAAATATGTTTGTCTCATGCGCTGTGACCAAAATTATAGCGACCGAAAGCAATAAAATTCGAGGTGCCATTTGACATGAATAAGCATGTGGAAACACAAAATTAACACAGCACTTCGATTAGGTAGCAATGCAGACAGAATACTATTTCAGTGGGACTCCAGTGCTGTAGAGCGAAATTAGTTAACCAAAACTCAACCGTTAGCTTTACATGACTAGATGAGATCAAATCTGTCAGCATGAAGCATGCATCAAAAAATTATCAAAGACAGTCGAAGGTTGGAATGCCATTGGTGACTTAGTCAAACAAAGTTGAAGTCAGTAAACTTAACATCGAATTCATTCTACAACCACGAACAGAGGCAGTGAACTGAGAGATTCAACGTGAAGCCAAACAAATAATGTTGATACATTCAATGGATGAAATGCAAACGTCTGTGAAATCATGCACAGCCTAGCAGAAACAATATCAAAAGTTATAAATTTCGTTTCACGGTTCAGTTAGGAAGGAAAATATAAATTTGAAATGAGTGTCAATAATGATTTCACTTCTTATTCAAATGAAACTAACGAAACCTAAGCTCAGGCGTTAGGCCTAAGTTAGTGAATCCGCTAGCGATTTACAAACTCTTGACAGTTTATCTACTGACACTGCATGTTTAACCACTAATTTTGTTCGTGTGGAAAACGAAACGAATTCTACCAGTTTCTCAGAATTACTTTTATCATACAGAAATGTGAATTATACTAAGGTTGCGTAGCTTACCTTGATATGATTATGAGCAATAAATTGTGCTCGAAACGTCATCAGTAAACATTACTGTATAACACTGTGAGACTTTATCAAAACAAAATTTACCCATAATGGAAGTATATGTATATATATATATATATATATATATATATCGTACTATCAAGACCAACCAGTAAGTTTAAGGCAATCGGTTCCTTTTATGAAATTCTAAAATCAGTGAGAAGACGTAAGTGATGCTTAACGTGTAATGCATCCGGACATTATGATGACAAACGTTCCCTTCATATACATTCATGTAAAAGATGTCTGAATTCGAAGTGTCGAAATTCACTGAATACAGGTGAAACTTTTGAAGTTTAGGGTGACAGATGAATTGAAGGAAATATAAGGGGGTCATAATATCACTGGGTGAACATGTGTGGGATTTTCGAATCGGATTCAAAGTGATAACAAGTAATATTTGAACACAAAAGAGCAGTTAAAAGACATGATCTGCACCTGTTTTGCTAATGAGTCAAGGTGAATATTGATATAAATTTAATAGCTTCTGTGTGTGACATACTCGACGATTACTGACGTCAGGCAACTAACTCAAGAGTTAGAATCGATGTTTCTCACACGTCTCGCATGTGACATAATTTTACCGACGATGTTATGGTTAACAGGACGAGATAAGTTTTACGTTCTTTTTTGAAATGACTTTAGCTGAATAGGAACTTCTACGCTGTTTTTGTTCGTTTAGTGATAAGGATTCGATAAACACCTTCAAAATGAAATGTCACATTAACCTCATATATTGGTTGCTGACTAGATTGATGAAAACGTCTTTCTAACATTTATATTTCGTTGGATTGATTCTAGAAGTAATCTGTTATCTGATAATATTTTAGTGTGACTTCAAGTGTTTTTTTCATCCAGCGATATCGTCTGAACATATACACATTGACTCACGCCTTCTTAAATTGTCAAGACTGTCAAGCAAACATTATTTCCATGAACACTTTCTGGCGACAAAAACCGTACCGATAGTCACCGCGTAAATCCCTGAATTATTATTTTATTTCAGTCGTGTTGTTAACATCGTTTTTCTTCTGAAATTTCAGCACATCACAGTATGATCCTTTCCAAAGCATCCTCTACACATACAGCGTATAACAGTCAGACAAAGCAAAGGGGTTCCGCCAGCTTTTTTGTTTGGGTAGGCACACGATTATATGCTCGATATATTTGCGTGCTTGTGTAGTTCATCGTAGATTTGATTATCATGATACTGATGACAGTCGGTGCTGTCGTCTTGATTAAAGTGTAAGATTAAATTAAATTGATAGTTTAAACAATATTGTCATTTTAGAAATGCAATATGCAAGTTCTTCGAAAGACATGGCTATATGCAATACATTCTTTTGTAAGTTCTATATTCAGTATTATTTTTTAAACTTTGTATTAATTCTTAGACACGGTGAAAGTTTCTATTGTTATTCTTTTGGTTTCTTAGTGGAATGTGATACCTCCAATTCATCTATTTCTCTGTACTCCTTTCTCATAGACTTCACGAAGATTCTATAAACGTTCATTTCCTGCGCTCACATTGTCATCAATCTAACGACCAAAACCGACTAGTTGTGGTCTGAAGATAGTAGATGGAACACTTCGTCCTCCTGCATAAGTGTGAATATTTCCTTGAGTCAAGCACAGTCACAAAACGCTTCAAATTAAGCGAAAAGACGGTTATACCTTGATCAAACTATGTGGATCTATTTACCAATACTGACATCAAGAACTCTCAATTACTTCAACAATGCCTATTGGCGGCCATACAGACTAGATGAGTTTCTAGGCCAAAAATGTGCTGTAGGAAAAAATCAGTTGACCAAAGTTAAACTGCAACAAATACCTGAGAATCAAGTGTTGTAATTCACCAGGAGAGATGAGGTCGATACTCGGTTCACAAGACTTACACACTGAACAATTCTCGCAGAAATAATGGTGTTAGAGTATTCTTGATTCACTCAAACAAAATCGCAGTAGTAAAACGACGCATTGTCAATGCATAGCTGTTGAGGTTTAAATCAACATATTAAATGGAATTGTGATCACAGTTGTATACAGGCTCGGAGAAAAACGGACAGTGATCACAAAGTTAGTCGAAACATCCAGATAAGTACAAATACTGTGATTACATCGTACATGAGGGACTTCCCAAACACTTATTCAGTTACAAAACTAAGTCTCATCTGCATTCAGCCTGTTTTGTTGTAATTACTGGTATGTTATTAATCTTTTTTTGTCTTTCTTGGCATTATTCTCTACTTTTGTGCTGTAAATTGCACAAAGCTTTTCCACCGTTAATAATCGTGCCCCTAGCTATTCTACTATTTCACCATCACGCTCTACTCTAATGTTCTCCAAACACAGTCAACCGTTATCCTGCTTCTATTACTTTCCTAATATGGCTATACAGGTTCGTTCTTTTAGCGCTTCTAGAAACTTCTAATGTTCTTCTGTACAGCCTACCTCAGTAGCGGTACGAAGTGATGATATCGGGTGGTTGGAGGAACTATTTGACCTAGGTTTCGTGCTAGTTGGCACATACTAGGTTAAAGTGATGGATCAAAATATCCACGACAAACTACAGCTTCTCAGTACCGACACCAACATATGCCGCTTCATTCTTCAACGACGAATAAGTTTGTTCTTCACTTTTTCTGTTAATTATCAATAAACATGTGGAGATTGAAACACTAATCCCATAATGCATAATGTTGAATAACTGTACGCTGTCTGAGATGAATTACTGACATTTGTGATTTCATTTTAGATCAATTACCGGCGTCCTATTGATGCTTATAATATTTGTGAGAAAAATTCGGTCAAACTATCTTGCTACTCGTATAGTGCTTGAAATTGTGGTAAGTATCAATTTTATTTAATCCTATATGGCAATCACAGGATTTGCGAGGATTCGCAAATGTCTGTGGCAGTGGTTACGTATTCTTATTTAGGCCTTATTTAATTCTAAACTGCTACATTTATGTTTGCAGTACAGTGTTGTTTGTATTTCCCTTCAATTATGACCTTAGCACCCTATTGGTTTCGGACTGTTTCAACCTACCAAAGTAACTGGTGTCTCACGGCCATTTTGAGCACATCTGTATTTGTATAAATGCATTTGCTTTTGATATGAGATAGTAAAAGGTATAAGCGAACGGTATATTTTCTTATCTTCTTGCATGGGCGGTTCGGTGTTGTTGTAGCATGTCGTGTCGTTGTTGTAGCTCATAGAAATAAGAAGAGTAGGCTTGTAATTCTACTAGGTAGGGAATATCTAGGCGCTAACCACATATTGTATACTCTGTCATATCACCTATAATTGACAATATTTCGCGATGTGAAAGTAGAAAATCCTACTTCCATGACATCATCAATATCAAATTAGTGAAGGAATTGAACATAATCTGAAGGAGAGCGCCACTTGAATACTGACAGATACTTAGTGAAAACCTGCTTTGTTATCACTAGTTTACGTGTAGATTGCTTAAACAACAGAGGACGTCAGCGCCTAGATTTATCTTATAATTACACTCGTCAAATATGGACTTCATATAAAATCATCGCCAATATTTATAAAAAAGACTTCGCTTGCTTGAAACAAAGTCATTCCGCAGTCAGTTATTTTTTTACGCGACAATGTATACATCGACGTTCAATCTTCCAAGTTACCTCTTCGATATGTCTGAATCATTCCAAGAATAACTGAATTTTATTATCTTGCTAATAAATGAAGGTCCATTACGGAATCCAAGTATGGCTATGATCAATTCAGGATGCTTTTGATTTCACAAGAATACCGATGCACCACAAAAGAATCAGTCCCTTATAACTTCAAATGGATAGGTCAAAAAAAAGAGACGCGTCCTCATTCCACTAGGATGTTATCTCATTGCTGACAGTATGCACTTGATTTCTTCATTTGTCAAGCATTTATTTTTTAAATACAAATGAACTATTGACATTATTTTCTCTGTGATAGGTTTTACTCTGGTCGGTGAGCTTCGCTATCGTATTCAAATCAATTGAATGGTTATGTGGATTGATATCACTGGGTATAACGATTGCGATAACAATTTTGGCGGTCACTGTGAGTTGGAAACTATCACCATTGAATAGGAAGGGGTTTATCGTTTTCATTTCAATATCAATCGCCGTTGGCGTTTTAGCCATAGTTGCAGTGATTTGTTATTACTCCCTCGGCAAAGAAAAGGTAAATTCATATAGATAAAAAGTGAAATATTATATAGAGGCAACTCATGAAATAAGATGAAATCTCTCTCCCTCTAATTTCCTTGTTATTTCACTTGTTGAATATATCTCTAAATTGAATGTGATAATATGAACCATAAGCACATATGCTAACTGCTTACTGGAGCTCAATTCATCATTCATGTGGTTAAAGCAATATAAATGGATATCGATTTGTTTCGTTGTAATTTGCAGAACTCAGGATGACATTCAAATGATATCGTAACACTGACCAAAGATGTGACTGTGGTGTAAATAACTTCCTAAATTATTCAGGTTTACTTTTGCAAACAGTTTTGAAATGATGAGCAAGTAATTGTTCGAGTATGTGACTTACCAACATTTCATTCAGTATGCCACTTATTGCTGAGATTCCAAATTTCTGTTTCCGTGAGATGATGAATATTCATTGCTGCGGGAACACTGTTTATCGACTTAGAAAGCAGAGCAATTAAGTTGTCAAATAGTAGAAAATCTGTGTACATTCGATTGTGTGCTATGATGCTAGATCTTTTGTCACGAGGTCACTGCTTAACTACTGACCAGTACCCACTTAACTGGTAAAACAGAACACGCGAGAATCAGCGGTAAAACCAGGTTCATTTATTATGATAAAAGTGACTGTATTTATACAGAAAATAAGGTAGACTGGAAATCAACCAATCCGGTCGAGAATTGGAATTGTGCAAGCATCCAATCAGAAAGCAGGATAATTGCATTTCAACGACTTGTTACTAACGCGATAATAACTTGACTGAGACATGATAATGACCTGATAATTGCATGTGTTTTGCCTCTTTCTAACATCTCCCCTTTTAAGATAGGGCTACCGGTAGCTTTTGTATCGCGGAATCACTTTTAGGTACTTTGGCGGTCTTGGTTGTCGTTGTGATCTCCTTGGCTGCTGGGACACTTTGCCTTTGTTTAGACTATTTTGCCCATGTGACGTTTTTGAATCCGTCGTAACTATCAATAGCTCAAATTGTACGTCGGCGGACTTGGAATCGTTCAACTGTTTACCAACTAGTCTATTTCTTATTTGATTGGCATGCCTGACCCAAATAAGGTCTCCAACCTTGACCTTGTAAATGACTTCGCCTTTTCTTCCAACAATCACTCCAGAAACCATTGGGCGATCTCTCCGTATGTAATAACGAAACAGTACCGACTGACCAACCATGAAACTTCTTTTCTTGGTGCCATGATGTCTATTGAACCAAGATTCACTATTTCGACCTTATTTGCTCCGTCTTGATGGGATCGGGATAGTTGTATCCTAAGTAGTACGTAATCTTCTTCCAAACATAACTTCTGCGGAAGATGTTTGATTTGGCCGTGATGGGTTGGTTGTGGTTCGATAAATGAAGAGGAAATTGTGCAATACATCCTCTATCGATCCCTCTTCGTTTGACTTCTGAAGTGCGCGCCTGAGTGTATCAACAAAACGCTCTGCTTGTCCATTTGACTGAGGATGGTAAGGCGGGATGTGAATGTGACGAACACCTAGCCGCTCACAAAACTGTTTGAATTGTTCAGCTGTAAACTGAGGTCCGTTATCGGAAACGATGATCTCTGGAACACCAAATCTGCTGAGAAGCTGAACCAACTTTTTTATTGTTATCGTCACTGTGGTATTTTGCATAATTAAAACCTCCGGCCACTTGGAATACTCGTCGATTACCACGAGAAACTGTTTGACATTGATTGGGCCGGCAAAATCTGTGTGGATACTTGACCACGGTTTTCCTGGGTTGGGCCACGGCTGTAGGTCTGTCTTGATAAGCATTTTCAAAGCCTGAGCACAGCGAGAACATGAGCGAATCATCACTTCTAATTCACGATCGATATTTGGCCAGTAGACGTAACAGCGTGCTAACGATTTCAAACGGCCAATACCAGGATGCGTAAAATGTAGTTGACTCATGACATTTTGTTGGAAACTTTGAGGCACGACCACATGTTCGCCAAACATAATGCAGTCATTGACCAGGGATAACGAATACCGTCGTTGATAGAGCTGTTTTAAATCTGGACAATCAATACGCGACGGCCAGCCACAACGCAGATACTGTTGAACTGACTGTAATGTCGGGTCACGCTGCTTCT